CACGTGGCGTGATATCCGGTACTCGTGGCGTCGCTTATCTATTACTGCTTGTATAAAATCTATTATACTTTCGCCATCTCTATTTCTTTCTGTTAAAATTTGTTAATWWAATCTTGTTAYACATAATTCTACCAGTAAATTCTTCATCTATACAGTCCACTAGCCTATTTCGCCCATCTCCTTGTCTTTTCTTAGAGCATCTCATTCAAATCTATCAATTTCTTTCTATCCTCGAACATTTTTTGGTCCTTCGAGCAGGATCCTTGAGTTATTTTGTGTAAGTGTAACAAGATTTAAAGTTTGTGAAAAGTGTCGTGTACACCCCTGTCGCATTGCTAAGCACCCTGGATGTTGTGCTGCGACAGGAAAATCAGTTCAAGGGACCGTGAGCGCAATTTGAACTTCGCTGTGTATCGCATCCCATAATTCAGACATATCGTTATATAATAGGCTTCTCAAAGCCGAGGGTGATAGTGCCGCGTCGAGTGCTCGTTTGGTTCTTACGTCTCTAGTTCACTAGGGAAAATCTAGGTGGCGCGGGAATCTGGCACTCTGGAATTATCGTCATCACCCCACCCACGGAGAGTATAGCGTGTGCCTCGTCATCTCAGGAAGTAGTGGGGGCGGCCCCACTACTACACTACAGTCTCCCCTCACAACAATCCTGCCTCAAGATGGCAGCGAAACTAGCACTGCAAGAGGCGCAGGCTACCACCATCTCGAATCTGACTGCCAATGCAAAAAACTTTCACGCTATGGACCTTTCAACCGCTGTCGACACAAGGGAGTTGCTTCGATCAGCATGGTCAAAGTTTGATGGCGAACACGACCTCATCGTATCGTCATCTCGCGAAACAGCAATGGAACAGTCGTATTTTAAGGAAAACCGCTACGAGGCGACCATGCAGGCATATCTAGGCTGAGTAACGCTTTTAAACTTTCGGATAGAAGAACTCTCCCAGCAAGCACCGCCTGTCACATCTAAAAGAGCATCTCGTTTTAGGACGGTACTTCCCAACATCTCATTACCGAAGTTCTCCGCTGCCTTCTCAGAGTAGAGACCCTTTGAGGAACTATTTTCCTCAATAATAAAAGACAACTCAGACCTCTCACAAGTAGAGAAGTTACACTATCTCAGAACCAGCCTGGAGGGAGAAGCGTCTAAAGTCATCTCAGATCTAAAATTATCCGCTGATTCTTTTTCGATAGCATGGAATAGATTGTCAGACAGATTCGACAACAAATGCCTACTAATCCTGGCTCATCTCGATAGGCTGATGGCCCTTCCTCGCAACAAGGAAAGGTCATCTGGATCCCTCAACAAATTAATCAATATAGTAGCGTCATCTCT